ATTGTGTGGGCGAAGATTATAAGATGACTAGAAGAGAGTGATTGTCTGTGTGTGAGTACGTGTGTGCATGTGTGTGTGTGTGTTGAGAGAGGGGATTGTTTTACAAATAAAAATATAGTATTGACACTGAAAAGTACAAATGAAATGACATTGAAGATTGTGAGGTTGTATTGCTGTCAGATAGTTACATGATTTACGAGTATATTAATGGAGAAATTATTTGAGAGCTGGAAAAAGATATTATAAAGCAATTAGCCCACTGTACAAAGTTGAATCTTTATTAATTGATTTCATCTTCCAAATCTTATTGTTATTCCTTTCACTAATAACAGCAAGTTCTGGCTGTGTCAAGTACATTAATAGACTACTTTTCTTCCAGCACTGAAGAATAAGCGAATCAGTGAAGGATGAAATAGAAACTTCATTCATTCTCAGTTTAATAATGTACTATGGCGATGTTCATTATTATTGTTCAATCATACCTTAAAGGTATTTTACACTCAAGTGTAATTTTTGCCTTTTAAACAAATAATGTTCTGCTTGTAATATTCTGTCACCCATTGGCAATATTTGAATCACGTATGATATTGTCAAAATGACCTCATTGTAAATTGAATAAAATTAAGTGTACAACAGGCATTGTAACAAATGGATGTATGTTAATGATACCCATATTTGATTTAGTGCCTTATCTCATTGAAATGTCTTGATGCATTTTATGCAATGAGTTACTTTGAAGTGTAGTGACTATTTAAGTCAATTTACAAACTAATCTGCACCTACAATGCCCCACAATCAGCAACATGACAAATGACTAATTAATCTCTGAATATGCTACACACATATATTCAGAAATCTAGTAAGTATGCTTGAATAGAAGACAACAATATTAATTTAACTCTACAGTGCTTACTTGTTGTTACCAATTTATTTGATAAAGTGGCTCTCAAAGTAAAAATGAATGGAAATGGGAGTAATGCATACACAGGCAGTTTTTAATTCATCTGAATGTAAACCCTTGTATTTTTCATCATGTTGCTAAATTATTAATTTGTCACAAACCACAAAGAAGCTCTTTCTCAGACATGATAAACGATGAGAAGTGCATACAAAGTGATGGACAAGACAAGCACTCAATGAAAAGCTCAGAAATCAATTTGAGTTTCTAGATTATTGAAGGGATTACCATATGTTTCCTAAACTGAGGATCATTTGATGCTTTCTTTGACTGAAGCAATTTGCCACAAAACTATAAGTTCAGTAAATGAGAAGAAAAGAGGAAAGCTTAAGCATAGTTTGCTGTTTATTAAAAAATATTTGTTTCTCCACAACCTATAAATTAATCTATCTCTGAACATAAAGTTCAACGTATGCTGTTAACAAACTAATAGTGTTATATGCAGCTATGCATAACAGCAATGCATAGAAAAGATGTACAGGTATATACATCTTTTCTATGCATTCTATGCATTGCTGTTATGCATAGCACCTTATCGCTTTGAAATGACTCAGAACGCTTCACTGGTAATTACTGTCCAGTTATACTGATTGATTTGTTGGTGAACATGATAGCTATTTGCATCACCAAGATTCCACAAATAGTCATGAGGTGAATGACCAATTAATCTGGAAGGTTATTGGCCAGTACGAAGGGTAAACTCCCTTCTCTTTTTGAATACCACCACAGGATACTTTAATATCCATCTGAAAAAATAGATATTGTCATTTAATTTATGCATGCAATTTAAGATTTTGGAGGATAATTTTATGCTCATCAGTGTGAAAGATGGTTTGTGTTTTCAAGGGAAAATGCTCTCACTTTTGACATTCTGACATACTCAGACATGTTATAGCATATGTTAGCTGCAGAATTATCATATATCGCTCATTATCAATGTCACTATACCCCAACGTCAGAAGAGTGGCCTTCCTGCACCAGTGTGACCTTTCCATTTTCCATTGTGGTCTGAGTGAGTTTGATCAAAGATAATGTCATTTAGTGCCAGATTATAAACAGGTTAGTGCTGTGAACTCGAGCCTTTGTAGGGAGTTGATTGAAACTGCCCACAGTCATTTCATGATCTTTACGGTCATTACATGGGAATTGCAGTCTGGGTGGATTCAAATTCTGGCCCCAGAGGTATAAGCTATTGCAATGTCAACTATTACACCAACCAGTTTTTTTTTGCTTGAAGGAGTTTCTTAATTTGAGCTAGTTGAACACGACAGATTGTTGTTGAGGTACAGCATGCTGCTCAATGTGGTATTGGTATCCTTGGATAGACAGCACAGGTGAATCAGATTGCCATAAAATCACAAACACTTGAGATCCTATCCACCTATTCTGGTGATCGTAAAAGATCTCATTGTATTATTCAAAAAGAGATGAGAATTTCTCCATTGACCTGGACAACAATCCCCCCAGTTTGTAAATAAAAAAATTGGTCCTTCCCTTCATGGGGGACATTTGTGGGACATTTCTGTGCTTAAATTCACTGTCCGTTCATCTCCAAAATTGGACTTTACAGTATATCTTATCTTATGAAGATGAAGCGCTTTAAGATGTCTTCAAGATGTGAATATTGCTATATCAAATGCAATTGTTATTACTATTGATAACTTCATAATTAGTATTGGATTCGCACTGAAAAAGTGGACTAAATGTGTCATTCTTTTCACAGTTATTTGGAGAGGGGAGCGGATTAAGACCAGGTTAAGCAATACCTCTACCTAATCCAGATATATCACTCGTATACAAGGCTGCCTGACAGGGGTCACTGTAATCCAGAAGAAAAACTGCAGAGAACCCAATAAAAAGTCTCTGTGCCAGCAAAGTATGGTGTTCAAATTAAGTGAGCAATTTACCATAAAAATGGGGAGTCAAGTCAGATGGATGGGTGTATGAGTAATCACATGGAAAAAAACCTATATTCTGTGTCACAAGGGACTATGAGGCAAAGCTTTTAGTAGAGTTTAATTATTATCCTGGGTAAGTTTGGAATTGCTTATAAAGTGCACCAGGCAGATTTTATTAGGTATGTATTGGATTTCTATAGTATGAGCAGTAGATTTCGTTTATTTTACGAAATGCAATTTGCCTAGGAATGTCCATCTCCTTCAATGTATTATTCTTAACGTGTGGCATGCCAAACCTCCTGAATAGCGTTTCACGAAAAAGTGCTTTTGAATTTTAAAACAACAGGATTATTATGTGCGTGACCAATTATTCATTTATCATCAGACCTGTACCTTCAATCATGAATTAATAGGTATATTAATATTGTATGAGGGACTAAAGCGCATAAAATTCAAATAAAAGAATTGTGACTTAATTAATTAAAGGAAGTGAAATGTCAATGTCGAAATCTTATTAAGCCCTGCAAGTCATGAAAACTCCAAGGGAAAGATAGCAGCTTTTGCTAGCTCTTTCTATAACCTAATAGGAGCTTTTCGAAAATGTTGTAGATCAGGTCCTCCTGATGCTTTGTTGTATTGAGTTACTAACAAAGTAACAAATACCGTTGTTTAAATCAATTACATTCGTTCCACTCCAAATCCCAATGGGTTGTAGCAGAAGACAAAATAAACTGTACTGAATCTGACTTGCATAGCAAGCTTAACTTGTGTTTTCTTTGGTCAGCCAGGAGTTTGACACATGCAAAAACCATCAACAGGCTTAAGAGTATCCAAGCATTACACATGGAAATTCCAGAGGTAGATTGTTGGAATAGAATGCAGACCCTCTTCCTGGAGGGATGCATTTGCTCACCCAATGCCAAAAATATTAGACGCTGGTTGGCAAGAGCTCAACTATGACGCTGCCCCTCACGTTTAAATAGCCCGGCAATGCTTGCTTTCTCTGCTGACATACGCAAAAGTGCATCATAATGTTGTAGATACCAGGATCTTTGGGACCTTCCTCCAGCAATCAGAAGAGGGAAAATTGAGTGGAGGAAAGAAAACTGTAGAAGTTCTATAATGTGTCAAGCGCATATTAATAATCCATGTGAGACTGAGCAGTCTCAATTTATGTAGTGCAAAAAGATACCTATTGGTATAATTGTTTGTTTTCGAGGAACATGACGGTTAGGATTGTTTTTGCAGCTGTGTGAAATTTATAATGGTTTGTCAGTAGTGACCTCGCAATGGCAGTGTTCTGTAAATTAATAAGAGAATGTGTCTAGAGCTGAACTCAAATATCCAGTGCAAGCTGGTTATACCAAACAGCAACATCTGGTTGTTTATCATGGTTAGATCTTTACACCATGTTACATACAACTGCCCCAATCAAACATGGATGGCACTGTGTTAAGACTTGGCTGATTTTTGATCTACTCTTATGCATCTTGAAATAATGAAATATGCAGCAGGGGGAAGAGAGATTTGAAACTGACATGCTTGCAGTATTGCAAGTATATTTGCTGTTACCTGATTTCATGTGGTGAGGCATTGATGATAGTTACAGCATAGCCGGTATCCCAAACTATTGTATAACAAGCAGCATGGTGCAGGAATCTCCTACTGGGGGACGAGCAAAATATAGGATAAGCGAATAGTAAACCATTTTCAGAACAGAACAAATGAGTAACTTCCCTGGTGTGCAGCAGATCACAAAGTGCAAAGATTACAAAAAAATGCACAGCATGGAAACAGCCCAATCGACCCAACCAGTCTGTATCGATGTTTATATTCCACATGAGTCTTCACTCATTCCTTTCACCCTCCCGTAACCCTTCTATTCCCTTCTCCCTCATGTGAAGATCTAGCTTCCTCTTGAATGCACCTACATTATCTGATTCAAGCACCACTTCAAGCAGCGAGTCCACAATCACACCACCCTCTGGGTGAAGTAGTTCCTCCTAAATTGCACTGCATATCTGTAACTAGGATAATTGTTTGGAGACCTAATGTGATTATCTTCACAATGTTTTTACATGAGTTATGCATGAAAACATCTATTGGCATAGTTTGTTTCATAATTTGTTGCCTTATTTTTTCAGTAAACAAGCACAAGCCATGGATTGAGACATCTTACCACGGTGTGATAACGGAGAACAATGATACCGTTCTGCTGGATCCACCACTAGTTGCACTGGACAAAGATGCACCTGTTCGCTATGCAGGTAAGTTGAGATATCATTAATCATCCTGAAGAATGTGAACTTTCACTGCTCCTGTCATATTTCATAACATGTCTGCGGGGCTGTAGCACTAATAATTCATACGTATTGTGCAGAATGTTTTGACACCAATTGGCATGCATGAGTGCTTGTAACAAGGGGTGCTTTCTCTGAAGCATTTATACCCAAAGTTAAGTAATTAACTCATCAAGCTTCTAAATTCCTGTAAAGAATTTTTTTTTACATACTGTGTGTATGTGGCAAATTCTGCTTGTCTGGTACCTAATCACATATATAAGTAAAACAACTGTGTGTTATTTATTTGTGCATCTGGGTGCGAGAACAAATTTATGAAGTGTGTCCAGAAAAAATGTTTTTAATTGAGCTGATTGGTTTGTCATTAAGAGAGAAGGTGCTCTGATTCAAGTTTGACAGCTGTAGAAAAATGGAAAGAATAATTACACAGCCATCGGTTTAATCAATAGTAATTTACACCATTACAAGGCTCAATGATATCCTTCGCTTCTAAGTCATTAAAATAGATTAGTCTTACATAGCCAAGTGATTCTTAATGACTATCAGACTGAATGTAGTCAACGTATCTAAATGTAATTACTATGTTACTTCTGCAGATGCCAATAGTTTCAGTACTTTTTTAACCTTTAGTGTTGACTTTACGACCTGTCAAATATGTTTAATTGATATGTTTATTTCTACTGAATTACTAATTTGGAACTGGCTTCTAATGAATTTCAATTGCTACTGATCTCCAATCTTTCATTTTAAGACTCATGAAACTGCAAGTTGAACACTACATTACCATTTTAAATTCCAATTTAAAAACATTTTACAATCCAGATATTTTGGTATAATAATGTGTATCATATGTGTACAATTCATAGATCCGAAATTTTAGTTTTTTTGTTTTTTTAAGAAAAAGTTTTCTTTCTAGTTTTTATTTTTCTGATTAGGAATTTAAGGAGTGTTTATTTTTCAATGGCATCAAATCGAGTCAAATTATTTTTTATGAAGTAACAAAAGTCAGTTCTTCAAATAGGTTTGTAGCACTATCCTGCTTTATTATTGGTGTGTAAAAGGTATTATCTGATTAATGTCTTAATGTTTAACATATTGGTTCTGCAGTTGCTGGATGTTAAGATTTGATCAGCAGTAAGAATTGTCTGTGATGTTGGGTGAGGCAGCATTTGGCTGTGAATGTGTTCTTGGTGAAACAATGTGCTGACATTCAGCATGTGTGCTCAAACATGCAGAAAGGGGCATTGTGTGACATATTAGGGACTTCCAGGATTTGTGAAACAAGACATAATTCACTATCATCAGGAGAAAAGAGAAAACAGATTTTTTAAAATATTTTTTAAAATGCATCACTCTAGTGATAGGACCTGAAAATCCCCTTATAAACAATACTATGATATTATCCACAGCGATAGGTTTTTTTTCTTACATTCAATGCATTTTCCTGAACTTGAATGCAAAAGAATTGAAAAAATCTGTTTCTTAATCAAACATGTGTCAGGAGACAATTTGTGTGTTCGTGTACACACTATATTAAAGAAAAAGCAAGTTTATTATATTCTGCATCCTTGTCTTAACTTGTCTTCCACCTACTTCAGATGGAAAAAATTGCCCAAAGAGTTGGAACATATTTTCAATGGCAAACAAACCTTGCTTGGGGACATGGGTGCATTTGCTATGGAGTGACCTGGATAAGAGGTTTACATTTTCCCTTCAAGGAATGCTTTGGTCTTCTGAGATGCCTCACAGTGCAGCCTGGCTAATGCTTGCCTTTACGCATGATTAATGTAACTGACAGGTTTTGGAATCAACCACCTCTGGGCCTTAAATCTGAGAACGCTGCCTAACCATTCAAGGACTGCAGTCGCCTGAATGCCCACTTGGATAGAAGGCACTGAGAAGGTCATTCTTCTGGTATAAACCCAGACGGTGCTGGTGATTTGATCATAAAGGGCTGCTCAATCCGACGCTCACTTTGCATCCAGTTGCACATATGTTCCTGCAGTGATTGCTGGAACCTAACGCCCCTTCCTGTCATATCCTTCCTTTTTTGTCCAAGTTTTAAAAATTCTTCTGTGCATTTGAACACAGATTAAGTGGAATCTTTCCATTTTGCTGCATTAGAAATGCCAGGAATTCAGTATTACTGTACAGTGAAAATTATCTTGACAAAGTAGAACATTTGAATCAGAACAAATTAATCTGCAAAATACTAAAACTTTAAATGTAATTTTTTTTAGATATGAACTAGTCAATAATAGATCGTTTAAAAAGGCCTGCATAAATTCTGTACCTGACTTTTGATTGGCAAGTCTTGAGTGTTTAAGGAAAAATGTTGTTTGAACATGAATGGTCACCAATGTGTTTGGTTAATGATGGCTTATGAGCAGTATAATAATTGGCTTTGAACTTCTGTTTCGCTTCATTGCCGACCAGATCATTGTTCCGTTAAAACGCAAGAGAGAATTCAGGTCTTATTTTGCTGCATTACACAATTGGACTGCAGATTAACTGTAACTCTGATTGCAGTGTGTTCCATCAAAGCAGAATATCCCTATGAAAGACTTGATAAGGTAGAGGTAGGGGACCTTTCACATGCTATAATTTGTTCCTCTTTATCTTCTTGATATATTATTGCTTTTCAGCTCAGAAATCATCATTGGTTTTCCTAATGCTACCTAAATTGTTCTTAAATAAAAATCCAATTTCCTTCATTTTCATGCATTTGGAACATTGAGGTATTTTGGTAGGAGAGTAGGTGTTGCCTGTGAACTCACACAGTTCAAGAATTTGCATTCAAGGTCCAAAGTCAATGCCCTGTCATAGCTTTGCACGTGTCTAAAGTATATTTGGTTTGGGCCAATTTTAATAAATTGTATAGAATGGATAAATATTGAATGTTTAAATATTCAACGTATCTATTCTGCTGATAGTTTTCACTTCAAGAAAACGTGTTTGAAGTTAAAATGCTGCACTCATTTAAAAAACAGCTTGATATGGATACTGAAGGAATTGTGATCATTCACCTTTGATGTCATTTCAAATAGTTTTTTTATCAGAGGTAATAAATTGCACCGTTTCAGAAAGTTGTTGCAATTTTGAATAGAGATTTTAAACCCCATTCACTCAAAAAAATAGTCATTATCTTCAAAGAAACTATCTTCCTTTAGCTCACAAATATCACACAGAATGAATGCATGCAAACCAAATTGAAATGTACAAAGGTTTGCCTCTGTTGTGTTGACAAACCTTCCGATATTTTATGAAGTCTCTGTCTTACATTTCCCCTATGCTTGAGAGAGGATCTCTGAACGTTTGGCGCCACAGCAAATGCCTTCAACACAAGCACTGTTGTTTAATAACTAGATTGAGATAAACATATGGCATGGAAGAGGATTCAAACATCTTCCATGTGTATTACTTCTTCAGTACAGATCTAAGTTATGTTGTAATACAATTCCGGATGTAACTTACAAAACCTTGTGCTAAGTTTCTCTTTGCTTAGGGTGCTCCTCTCTCCAAGCGAGACTTTCTTGTTTCTAGCTTGTTAGGGTCCATCTCCAGTATTGGAATTTGTGATCAGGGCTGTGCTATTGAGTTGTCTAGCTTCTCCTGATCTCCTTTGTATCTCTCTGTGTTCTTCATTGATTCTTCCCTGCAGGCATCGAGCACAACATCAATCCTGTCTGTGTGTTTAGTTTATTATTTGAACTAATTATCGTGTTACGTGAGTTTACCCATAATAATGACTTCAAGTGAAATCGCCGTTGATCTAAATGCCTCATAACTTTAATGTGGACTTTGCCTGTGCGCCTTCACCATAATGAAACAGCTCTGTGATGAAAATCTTTCACTGAACTGAGCACTGTTAATGGGGGGAAATAATTGTTTTTGAAAACGAACAGTTTACTTTTTTAAAAAAAAATCCTTTGCAGTGTTCCCACAAACAGTCATGGATTGAGTGAACAAATTATTGTTATTTTTATTTTTTAAGGGATTGTTAACCCCGGGAAAGCGATCCATCAATCATCTAACAATCGGGTTCCTACTTATTGTTAGGTGAACAGAGATGGACAATCAAGAGCAGCACAAAAGTTCCTGGTCTAATGTTGCAAAATATTTTCCATGGGAGAGAGAGGTGACAAGATCATGTGTTAGTTGTTTCTAGGCGCCTTTTCATAGCTGATTGAGTCATCAGACAGGACGTTATTAATGCTACCCTGTCTTTTAGCTTCACCAGCAAGTTTCTGATGTATTGTTAATACATCAAATGTAAAATATCATTCCCTGACACAACTGTAATTACAGGCGCGGTTTTCATTTGGATTCCATGCAGCATTTTCAGATAGCTCCTGAGCATGGTATTTTAAATGTCTCGAAGTTTGGTGATTGATTCTCGGAGGAAAACATGCCAGATTTAATTAATGGACTCTGACAAGTCCACCTACTGAAGAAAGAGAGCTTCAAAGCCCTTGTTTTATGAGTGAGTTACATAAGCATAACCACACACTGTAACGGCTGGTATAGCCTGGAAAGATGCAAGCGTTAAAGGCCAGAATTCCTTCAGAGTCTTCACCATAAAATCATTGTGCTAAACTTTAGAAAATGATTTGATTCAATCTTAATTTCAAAGGTGGTTTGCAAAGTACTGCAGACAACTTAGCTGCCAGGTTACAATTGAACTTAAGACTTTCCTAACATTTCACACAATCTTAGCTTGATGAATGTGAGTTTTGGAAGTTGATTTCAAATCCAGGATAAGACTGCTGAGAAGGAGAGCATCTGAGATATTGAGAGGATCCCCTATGAGAATGGAAAACTCTTCCCTCTGTTGGCTTCTTGTCTGAAATCCGAGTTCCTTTTGGATTTGTGTCTGTAGGATATCACTGGCCATAATTTGCAGTTTCACTCAGTGAATCCGCCAGGATGATTGGAGAGTGAAATGGAAGTGTTGCATTGGTACAAAG